ATTCTATTCCGATGTGGGAACCTTCATGAAAGCTCACATGTTGACCACCAATCGGAAGACGCCACGTCAATGCGATTAATCATTAAATTAAAAATTTCTTCAATTTTAACTTTATTACCATAAAAGCCAAAATTCATTTTATAATGGAGCTTTCTTTTCTTTTTTTTAATAAAAAGTAATTAAAATTCTAGCCTAATAATTGTATGAATTTATTTTTTCTAAATACAAAAATAATTGCAGATACATGTTAAATATGAGTTTATTATTTCATTAATATTTTGAATATATCAGCGCATACGAAATAAGCACATGAATTTATTATCTTAGTCTACTTTAAGTATATCGCAAGTGTTTCGAACATCCATTAACATTCCATTGAGGTAAGGGTGCAAGAAATCGAGCTGAACCGATTCATTCAATCTGGTTTTGTTCAAGTTAAGATCATACAAATGGATTGAAAATGAGACGTGATCAAACACTTGGAAGTCATTTCATATCGAACTTGAATATTTTAACAAAGTGAGATATGCTCGTGTTGACAAGGGTTAGATTTTGGTTTAAATCCGCCCCCTTAGATTTGGACTTCCATCTAAGGAGTTGACAGTTCTATTAGCGGATGCATCTATAACGGTTTCGCAAAACGCAAAATCATAATAAGGACTAAATAAGAAGTTAGGAACCAAATTCTATTACCAGAGCAAGAAACAAGAAATAATGCATGCTTGTTTACGTATCTTGGACCACCAAAACATCACTTAATATTGAACTAATTAACATTGCTTCAAAACTTTTTGTTGTCCAACTTGTGTAGAAAATATAATTGATAGTACTGATAGAAAAGCAGAAACAAAGGTCACAACGCCTACGATTCTAGCATTAGATCGTTTACCTGCTGGTATCGACCATGTTAGCTCTGCCTTTGCATCATCACTTTGCAACTTAAATAAACAGCTCCTATTATGTGGCTTTTCCTGTATGCTACACTGCAAAAACAAGTCCGGAGCCTTCAATCTAACTTCGACATAACCGCTTTCATCTAATGGCTGCAGACCAGCAAGAAAATATGTTACGAGTCCATTTAAGCACGGAAACAACACGGCTTGAATATAGTGAAACATTAAGCTGAAAAAATCTAGGACATGAACTCAAACACGTTGTTACCGCACACATCTTTACAATTCATATTATTTTCATATATTTCAATGATTCTCATGCTATCAATTTTCTAAAAAGCAAATTTAAGGTCAATTAAGCTAAGCATTTGTGTGTTTTTCACTCTCAATGGTGTGTTTTTCACTCTCAAAATGTGAGATCCCACATCGATTGGGGAGGAGAACGAAGCATTATTTATAAAGGTATGAAAACTTCTTCCTAGCAGACGTGTTTTAAAAACTTAAGGGGAAGCCTGAAAGGGAAAACCCAAAGAGGACAATATCTGCTAGCGGTGGGCTTAGGCCGTTACACAAAATGTTGTCACCGTCAAAATGTTCAAAGTGCAAGAAACTTGTTAGTGGTGGTTAACAAGGGTTTGACACGTGTTCAATGAATGTCAGGCTCGTATTCAATTTGTTCAATTAGTTTCTGATAGTCTCTATTGTGCAAAGCAAAAATCTAACACGCGTCTCGTAAGTGTTGGAGTATAAACATGGATACGTTATCTGAACTTATATGAGATAAACTAACGCTAAGAACTTGTTAAATTCCATTCTATCCAATGACGCCAGATCCTTCATAATGAACTTAAATAAAAACCATGTCACCTAGGATGATTATTCTAAAAGATACTTTAGGCTTACTGGATATCGTGAATGTAAAGGCAGATCAATGCTGAACTCAAGCAAATTCTTGTTGCGTGAAAAAATATTGAGACCAACGTCCTTGTGAACCTCGACAACAGAGAGGTTGGAGAGGACTGAAGGCAATTCCAAATTTGTATCTCCAAAAACGGCTACATCACTAAATACTGCAAAAAGAAGATAAAATAATAAGAAAAGGGTTGAACCTATTACATAGATAGTGACAGCAATACCATTTGCTGCAAATTATGAAAAGAAACCAAGAGATATCAATATGTTTTACCAGCACGATGAAGAAGATGTTCCAATTCAAATGGGTCAGCAAAAACTCCCGATGGCAGTTGTTCGATGATAATAATCTTGCAATGGTGTGTGTGAACATGAGGTATGGGTTTTTTGATGTTGAATTTGATGGTCGATGAAAGTTGACGGTGAGAACCTTCGCCCTTAATCTTCAACAGGATCGAGAGACTTAGCACAGTATTTAGATCACATGGTAGAACTTGACATATGTTGACAGAAAGATCTTGAGTCAGGAAATCATCAAAAAGTGAATCAACATAGCTTTCGTGCTTTCCGTAATACGAATCCATAATATATCTTCCAACCTGGCAAATTAAGTACAAGAGTAAGAAATGAAATACGAAAATAAGCTTGTGAAGATGAACAAAACCAGTGTCTTCAGAACATTTATGATGCTCTTCCACCAAAAAAGATATCAAACAATACCAAAGACTATTTATCCCGTTGACCTAGCTGCATTTACATTAAGAGGGACAAGATTAAAAAAAAAATCACATTTTTTTATAAGGTCACAATCCAGAAACAAAGAGAGTGCAAAGTTATCTAAGCCATGAGTGCTTACAACAACAATAACAGTTAAGTTTTTATTTAGTCTGAGACTCTGAAATAGGTTTTTAGGGATAATAACCACAGAGATTATAGCTATTTTCAATATCAGGCCAAAGTTCATTAGGATCTACTGAGAATCTCTATAGTCATTTTAAACGTAGGGCTACATTCTTCCTTATTAAATGTTTAATACCGAACAACGACACTCCATTGGGCTCTGAAATATTATTCCGACCATCCAAGAGAGAAATCTTCCTATCATCATGTCATCTCCCAAGAAATTCTTGATAATCTCCTCCATATTAAGCCCTATTATTCTTAGCATAGAAAAAAAAGACATAATAAGAAGACAAATTCACTAACACTGATTATAAAGTTCATCTCCCACCTTTTGAAAGAAAAGACTTTCTCCACTCAACTACCGCTAAATTGTATTCACAGTTGGATCCTACAATTGCTGGTTTTTTGGATTTCCTAAATGACAGCACTATATATAAACAAGGAAGAGGTTGTGACTTACAACCCACTTTTTGTGCAATCCCCATCCATCTTCACAAGCAAAGGTTCACAACTCTCCAGTCCCCAATAACGTTGCCCAGTTCAAGTCCTAAGAAAACCTAAAAAACTTCTATGATATTAAATAAAATGTTGATCATCAAGTCATTATTCCTCAAACAAAAAAAAATTAAACTCATCTGGAAATGGAAAACATGAACATCATAGTTACCCACTTAAAAATCTTCCAAAATTTCCATGGAAATATAGATCATTTATTTCAACGAGACTACTCAATACATACCCCACTAGCAAAAAGAGAGAGAGACTGACACAATCCTCTAGAGGCGGAAATCATTTGGGGCTTCAATTAACATATAACAAGACTATCATTCCACATTCACATTCCTAAATGAAACTGAGCTACACATAATAATACATGCCAACCCTTGAACTCGTCCATGCAGCAGCAAACTCATACAAACCAGCTGAGAAGAAAACAAGAACTAAGCAACACATTGACAGCAACTTCTAAATACAAGAACCTCACTGACCTTAGAGTTGCCGCCAATGGACTTAAGTTTAATTCAACCTTCATGCTTTATACTGACTAACGAGTTGTATTCAAGAAGCATTCAAAATGAGATGCAGTGAATCCTTTTTCAACTCATAATGCACGCATGATAACACCCCAAACCCTTTCTGAAACAGCTTTAGGATCTGGTTCAATATACATCCTTCCTACTTTTCATGTCAATTTGAGAATGAAAAAAAGAAAAAAAAAATCTTTAGGACAAAGGATGCTAAAAAAAAGAAAGATCACAATTTTTATACAACAACTAGATGGAGCAAGAGTTCAGTATCACTGAGAGATAAAAACCAATGGAATAATTTTGGCCTAAACCCAACATGTAACAGCTCTATATTAACACCAAAAAAAATAGCGAGATTTACTGGAACTAATATAGCACATGAAGAAGTCACACATACAGTATTATAGTTTGCACATAAAATCTAATAATTGCAAAATGATAAAGAGTCGAGGAACATGAATTACTAGGACTGACCTTACTAGCGTGTGAAATGCCATCAAGGCAAGAGACAAATACAGGGTAGAATATAAATGAAATTCCCAACAAAGAAATATAAACAGGAATGCTTGGCTTGGTCTTCATCATATAACTGAAACAAAACAAGAAAAAAAAATGTTATGGTTCGAATGCTTACTGAAGGCCTATATAACATGTTCCGTAGTGGACGAACAAGAACAGAGGTCAATATTTTCTAGAATTATAGTATAATTCATACTGATTTGAATATATCTGGTCAATATTTTCCAAAACGCCTTAAATCTCGCCGGGAATCGCCATATTAAACCCTTGAGTCCCCATATTAAACCCTAGGTATCTTAGTAGTCGTACCTGTGAGGGAGGAGCCGAATCCAATTATATGTAAAACGAAGGAAAATCACAACGAATGAAACAAAATAGCGGAGAACAACGATCGACGACGAACATGTCGGTGGCCAAGAATAGAGGAGACGGTGAAAAAAGAGTGAAACGTACAAATAAAAAGAAATATATTTCATTATAATATATACGCATGTAAAATATATATAGACGTAATATAAAATAATAATATTCAACCATTTATAAATATAGCCCCAGTAATTAATTTGAAAACTAATAATTTTCAAGAACATTAAAACTAATTTCTGAATTAAAATTATTTTAATCTTCAAAAATCAATATATAAATAATTAAATTATTTTAATAAATAAACTAGAAAAGGTTAAAAAACCAGTTTTTTTTTTTTTTTCAGTTTAATAAGTAAATTGTAAAATAAAATAAAAAATGAATAAAAGAAAGAGGAAAACCCTATCTCCTTCGCTGTGCTCCACGGCGTTTCTTCTTCTTCTTCACGCCGTCGTTAGTGCCGCCGCCGTCTCTCCCGTTCACTGCTGCCGTCGTCGTCGTCTTTCTTCCGTACGTGCTGCCACAGCCTCCCTCCTAGTGGTCTGTATTGACTTTCTACTCTCCCGTTGATACTGGTATTCTCCTAATCTCCATATGTCTTTTTTCTCACTTTAAAACCGCAGTTTGGACATTGTCTGATGAATGAATGGAGAAGTTGTTTGATTTTTTTTGAATTGACCATAGCCGAATAGCAACGAAAAAAACAGCTAGGATGTGATCGGTATATTTCTTCTTAAAATTGAAATTCGCTCCCTCTATTAACCAATTATACTTTGAATTTGTGGAAGTAAGAGAATGAAGCTAGACATTTTATTTTACTGGAATACGAATCAATCACTGTGGGCTGATTAAAAACATGAGTCCACACATATTTTTCAGTTATTCATAGGAGTAATCATTCAGTTATATGTTAATGAAATAATTACTCTGTTCTATGAATGTGGATCATTTTTTATAAATTAAGACAAAAGGTAGCTGATAAGGAATCAACCAAGGGAAACTCTCATACCAAATGATAATAAATCATCTCAAGAGAAAGTTCTAGTACCAAACGATAAAAAATCATTATTAAGGAAGTAAGATTCGGATTACCTTGTTGATCGAATATCTTAAAGGCAAGAATACTTGTTTGAGATTCGATTCACTCCACAAGTAAAGTCGATCATGTTGAGCTTGAATGATTCTAAACATGCAATCTAAACTATATAGAATTGCAAAGAAACTTAGCCATCCATGGGCTAAAAGAAAACACAAATGCTCCTTTTACTACATTTTCCAAGTTTCCTTTACAACGACAACATACATGGCTTTATATAGCATGAGGCATTCCAAGAGTTGTAACTTTCATATTTTATGACCATAATTAGTTACTCGGTATACTTTATGACCATAATTAGCCACTATATAAATAAGCTTTAAAATACACTAAAGAAACACCATAACTCTAAATTATCATCCACCCAAAATTTGTAACTATCTAAGAATAAATGAAACTTTATTCTTCTTTAACATGGCATGAATTGCAACATCTTGTGATAATTTGAACAACATTTTCTTCACATCTTCTTTGAAGTTTATATTGTATGATTGATGTCTCGGTTTATATCAGTAGCAGTTTATGATGATACTTAATTTGTTTTTTGTTCTCATTCGGGTTGCTATGACTCTATCTCTATTGTTGGATTTTTTTTTAACATCCCTCATTCTCAAGTTTCGTTGCAGTGATCATATGGCCGATAATAAAGGTGTCATTATTAACACCTCAGGAGAAGCAAGTTTAAACAATTTTAAAATCACAAAGGGGGATAGACTCATATTAAGGGGTCTGAAGTTTCACGGTTATCATGGAGTGCACCTTAGAGAAAAGGAAATGGGACAAGCGTTTTTGGTGGATGTGGATGCTTGGTTGGATCTCCGGGCAGCTGGAAAATCTGATGACTTGAATGATACTGTAAGCTACACTGCAATTTATCGGTGAGTACTTTGTGTTAAGCCGCTTTCTGTAAGATTTCTAATATGATTCAATGGACTAGTGTGTATTACTATACGTCTGTTATCTGCATTGTGGCTGTTATCTATAGTTTTTAACTTCTAGGCAATGTTGCAATTATTTGATCACTACTCTTTCGTATTTCTTAATGAAAGCATGGTTTCTTCTTATTATTATTTTTTAAAAAAAAACAATTATTTGATTAACTACTATATTCGTTCTTGAAGTTTGGCTACGGTGGCTTTAGAAGGTAGGAAGCAGGCTATTTATATTTGTAGGAGATGCAATATAGTAAATTAAAGTGTCCACCAAACACTTGAAACATGGTCTTTCTATAGTCATGGCTGATAAAAGATGTCATTTACATGTGATTGGGAATGCTTACAAGCTCTTTCTATTGTTTTCATAAATTTACTTAGCTCAAACATCAATCTTTGGAATGTCCAAGAATTAGCTAGGAAAAAACTTGCAACTCAAGATTCTCTCTCCCCTCCCCGACCCCATAAACACTAATTTCGGATAAACACTAATTTCGGCTGCCATTAATCACCAGCAACAACCCCTCCCTGAATGGAGTCACTCTTAAGTTTTCCATTTCCATTTATCGGATCTTTTCTTTGTCTTTCTATGAGGAATCTCATGGAAGTTGAACCTTGATCAAAGAGATTGGTCGTGCTTCTTCCCAAGTTGAATCTCATGGAAGGCGAAAATAACAGACTTTCTGTTCTAGACTGATTCTTAGTCGCCAATGAAAGTTGGGACTGCACAATTGTGAAGGGTTGAGCGTACCACTTTGGACCACTATCCTCTATCCTTGAATTTTGGAAATATCTCCTGGGGACCATGTCTTTGCGTTTGAAAGTTATTGGCTAAACCATAAAGATTCAACAATCGAACATAAGATGGCCCGAACATGGGTTCATGATAAAACACAAGGGTCTAAAATCAATGCTACGAACTTGGAATCTTTCTCAAAGATAGAAGGCTTAACAAAACCAATCTTTGGTCGATCAAATGAAAGGTCAGGACAGAAAGGAGGATAATGGGTTTTTAACCCCTGACCAGCAAGCTACAAGGCAGTATTTAAGAGAGAGAAAAGATACCAGAATTAACTGCTTTGGATTCTACATGTTGGAGGAAGCATTGTAAACTTTAATGGCTCAAAGAAGGGATGATGATAATACAAAGTTCTCTCATCATTTATTGTCGGCTAAAAAAGGCAATAATTCAATTACTGAGGTGTTTTCTAAAGAAAGGGGTTAGCTTGCTTTCAGCTAATGAGATTGAGAATGAATTTATCGACTTCTTTCAGAAATTGTATACGGAAGACAATAAATTCAGCTTTCTTCCTACAAATATTTATTGAATCCCGATTAATTAGTCTCAAGCCTTAAATCTTGAATGATGCCTTTCAGAAGAGGGAAGACCTACATGCTGTGAATTCCTTGGGTTCAAGTAAGTTTCTTGGCCCCGATCGATTTACCATGGCAAGAGAGGCTTACTGTAAAAGGATACGGGGATTTTGGACCTCTTCTTTTCTTGCATAGAATCTTAACGCTCGCAACACAATTAATGTTTGTTTTTGTTTCACTTATTTCATTTTATTAAAGTCGGTTTTTGTGAGAACTTTTAAGTTACTCATTGTTTAGCTCCTTCCATGGCAGGAGAGGCTTGTTGTAAAAGAATGAGGGGATTTTGAACCTCATCTTTTCTTGCATATTTTCTCGCATAGTTGGATTCTATCATTCTATGTTAATATTTCCAACACGAGGATAGCTCAATTGGTTAAGAACTCTCACATGTAAAAAATACCGCGTTAATGCTTTCTTGGATGTTATTAGTCGATGTTATGATTCACTTTATGCAATCTGATGGACAATGAACTTCAACCAATAGCATATACTATTATGGATATTGTTTCTGATAGGTTCTTTAATGTTGAACAACAGCATAGCAAGGGAAGTTTTGACTGGACCATCACATGATCTTCTGGAATCAGTTGCAGAGGAAATTTCTTCAAAAATAATGATCGAGTACCATCAAATAACCGCCGTTCGAGTGAAAATTGCGAAGCCTGATGTCGTTGTTGGTGGACCAATTGACTACTTGGGTATTGAGATTTTTAGAAGTAGAGATAAAGATGTGCCAATCTAATGTGCTTGTTTGTTCAAACAAATTCTGCATGAAAAGTAAAACAAAGTTCTATTATGATCATTTGTATTTTAGTTCTATTTTTCTTGTACTTTTTACTGAACTTCTTGAATTTTGTGTTTATTCTTTAAGTTTGTTTAGAAAATACTATTCTCTTGGTCCTAAGGTTTAGATATCTTTAAGAGAAAAAAATCAAGTTTGAAAAATTAGCAGAGATGAATCGAAGCGACGACTCAAGCACTTGCCACGACAAGGTGTTTCGCTATTAGCTCTACTCGAGGAAGAACGAGCTAGAAAAAGAAGCTGATTATCGGAGATGAATTGAAACGATGACTCGAGCACTTTCCACAACAAGGTGTCTCACTAGTATCTCTACTTGGGGAAAAACGAGCATGCCGCAGAAAAAGAAGCTTAGCTAACAACCTTGTTCGATGAATTATCAATCGTTGACGAGACTTTATTGTTTTCCTTTACTCATTTTTTGTGTTTCTATGTATGTGTAGTTCAATGCTTCTTTCAACTTGATTCGGTAATTAAAAATCATTTTAATTGTTTGGCATTGCTAATTCAAAACGAGACTTTATTGTTTAATTGTTGGTGAAAATTAATCTTGAAATGTTTTAAATACGACTCGAAAAACTTTCATAACATACCTATAAACCACATGTTTTAATATCCTTACTTTCATAACATACCTATAAACCACATGTTTAATATCCTTTAAACGCCTTCACGCTTCCCTAGAGTTTTTCCTCTCAAACATGTTTCTTAATGCATTAGAATTCTATGTCTAAATAAATTTTTAGTAAGATTACAAGTAGTAATTAAATGAATTAAGAATGTCAGCCTGAATCACCTATGCCCAAGATTCAAATTAGGCGTTACTCAAAGCTTGGTAAGAGTAAAGACTATCCTCGTAGACTAATGCAAATCCTTCCAGTATGCTTTGTCTTCGCTCACATGCATCCCAAGAAAATTCTTAGGAGGCCGCACAACATAGAATTGCATTCATGTACCCTTATGAGTGTCACATGCTCACCAACTTCCGCGTTGGTGCGTCTCTGAACCACATCTTATTGGGAGATGAACCTCTCTAATACCATTTATAATGATCTATGCTCACGATAAGAATTTAGATTCAGCACGTGTACTCTAACATTCCCTTGCATTTTCTACACCATGGTCTACCTACTCCTCGTTTTTTAAGAGTAAAATCTATCCACATAGAGTTTCACCTTATTTTGAAAGATGGATTCGACACCTTGTTTATTTAGGTGCGTGAATTAATTTAAAGTGAGTGATATGTTGAAATTTCATTAAACACGACTGATTTTTCATAGAGATATTCAAAAGAGTTTGTAAATTGAAAAAATCGATCTACCCAACTCAATGTTGCGTTGGACGATCAACCTATTTTGATCAGCTTGAGTTTAAAGAAACAAATAATTCATGAATTGAATTGATTTATGTGCTCTAAATTAATTTGTATCGAACCGAACCAACCAAAATTAATTATTAATAAACGCTGTTGCTTCAATTCCACATACCTATATTGACTTCTAAAAACAAGCTTTTGAACAATATATTTTTTCATAATCTTAATTTACTTTTTGAAATAAATAAATAAATGTATTATATATTAACCCTTTTAATCTTATTCAATACAAAATTTAAATAGATATACGAATTAACTGAACCATATTTTTTTTGATGAGTTGGATTAAATTCATTATTTAATAAGACTGTTTGAGATGAAAAAATTTACAACCCTAACAATTAAATTGGGTATAAAAATTTCAATCCGACCCAACTCAACTCATAAACGCCCATAGTTTTTTGTTTCATCGTCTACGTCTATCTTTCTTTGCTTAGACATAAAATTTATTTTCATATGTTAATATTTTGGGGGAAAATAATAATATTAATATTAGTAAAATTCAGAAATATAAATATAAATTTAAGAAAAAAATTGATTTTTTGGGGTGAAATTTAGGGGTATATAAATTAATTAAAAACAATATAATTATGGAAAGAAGTATTAAAAATAAAAAAATAAAAAAAATAATAAGCACATAAAATAAAAGAAAGCGGAAACCCCTTCTCTTAAACCCTTTTTTTCCGCCCACTCGCAGCTGCTCAACGCCTCCGACTTATTTTCCTTCGCGTCGTCTCTTCCTCTCCTTTTTAGCAGCTCAGTGTGGCCGCCGCACTCTGTTTGAGCGCCGCCGCTTCTCTCTGCTTGAGTGCCGCCGCCGCAGACTCTCTCCTTGTCTTTGTGCTGGTTTTGTACTCTCTTTCAACTGGTATTCTTCCTATCTCCATTAATGTATTTCTTCTCACTTATAAACACTGATTAGAACTTGTTTATTGAAAGAATGGAAGGGCTCTTTTGATCTTTCTTTCTTGTTTTGTAATGAAAAGAACCGAATAGCAACGAAAGAAAGAAAGGAAACAAAAGAGAAAATAATCTGGCTGCAAATTGGAACCTTTTGAATGCATTGTTATTTGTTGCATATTTCTTTCAATTGAGGCTTTGATAATCTGTATATATGTTTGGTCTCTGTTGAAAGTTTCCTCGTATATGTGGCCATGAATTTTCCAAAATCTATTTTTTTGTTTATTTATTAGAGAATCAGTCGAAGTAATTGTAGCTTATAGTTAGGATGAAGAAAACGTGTATTTTTTTTCATAATTGAATTTTTTCCCTTCAGATTAACCAATACATTCGCCAATGATACTTTGAATTTATTGGAAATAAGAGCCCTTTCAACTATTACCGAAGTTGCATTGTGAAGATGGCGCCGCCTTCAAAAAAACCAGTGGATGGCGTAAAGTTCAACAAGAAACCAGTGGATGGCGTAAAGTTCAACAAGCATTCCAAGATGTCATTCAAGTCGAAGAAGAAAACGAGTGATGTAGCTAAAACCGAAGCCTTGTCGTTGCAGATTGAAGATGATGTTCCTGACTTTCCTAGAGGTGCGCTTGGACTCTGACCTTTTGTTCGATTTTCTAGAAGTTTCCTAATGGGATTATGGCTGTTTATTATTATTCTTTTTTTTGGGTTCTAATGGAAACATGATCAGTTGGAAAGTTAGTTTTTGTTAATGCTTCAAGATTCTCTTCAGATGAAAGGGGATTGTTGTTCCAGATAAGAATGGCATGGCAGTTTCGGTTTGGTTTGGTTATCTTCAACAATGATTCTAATTTGAAGGAAGTCACTGAAAATAAAATATATGACTTCATAATCATATCGGGGCGCTTAAATTTAACAGTTATTGTATTAGTTACTTTCTAATGTCTCACTCTCACTGAGTTAGTTCAAATTTCAGGCGGAAGAGGTTCTTCAGGCCAACAAAATCATGATAAATTACGTCCTCAAGGAGATAAGGAGTTTCAGAATGATTATCCAAAGATGACAACAAAAAGAGGAAAGATGAGAAGAAAGTATTCCTCAAATGAGGATGATTTGGACTCTCTGTTGAACAGTGGTGTAGTGGGAAACCTTCCTAAATATGCCAATAAGATAACTTTGAAGGTATGTCCTGTAACAGTTTAGTTTGCTATATCAATGGAGAGGGGAAGCCTTTATACATCAGACTATTATTAGATATAACTGTGAGCTGACTACTTTTTTTTCTATTATTTATATTATTCTTATCTATTTTTTCTGGATAAATTAACTGATTATTTTTATCAACTCTTGCTTACTTGCATTTTCTGGTTGATACTATTTCCTTTTGTTCGAAGAGGATAGTGTCTTAGTCTATAGTATTTTGCAAATCTTTCATTCTATTGCTAGTCTTGGAATTAATTGGTGAGAGTATTAATTTTGATCTCGATAAGCTTTATAGGTGGCTCATCTAGTGGTGTAGAGATGTTCTTATGACTCAAGGAATTTTTTTGGACATAATTCTAGATGAAAATTTCTTTTTGGAATTCGTGTCAAAAAAACTTTCGAAATGCCTTTCATCATGGAAGGATGTGCGGAGATGTTGAAAAGCATATAGACGAGGCTCCAGTTTATCCACCTTTTCAACTGCCTCTGTCTTCCTCTGTTATGTCAATTTTTGTTTGGCTTCTTTTTTGGACCATTCTTTTTAGGCCTTTTTGTATTCGTTCATTTTCTCCCTGGAAGCCCATTTTTCAATGAAAAGTTTTATTTAAAATGCTGCTGTTTTTTGTTTCCGGAGATTTGTTCACGGTTCATTTTGTTTCTCTTTCTTTTATTTGTGCTGTTTGGAAAAGTTTTTTTGGAGTATTTTTGGCTTTTGTAGGTGTGTTTCCCATGTAATTTCATTCTTCCCCAGTGAAATTTTTAGGTTTCCATTAAAAAAAGAAGTTGGTCAAACTCATTTCCTATGATATTCTTCTGTTGTTAGAAGAAAACTTTCATTAATTAAGTTACTCCTGCTAAATTTCTTTTGAATATGTCGTCTCCTATCTTTTCCCAACTATTGGCGCATGTTAAATGTTCATTCTTGATTATTTATTTTCAGAATATAAGTCCAAAAATGAAATTTTGGGGAGTTGTTGCTGAAGTAAATAAGAAGGATCTTGTAATTAATCTACCTGGGGGCCTACGTGGATTAGTATCTGCTGCTGATGCTTTTGATCCAATTTTGGAAAAAGAAATGGAGGTAGGATTTACACATATTTCCCGAGTCACATTGCAATCAAACTGTTACTGTTGGTGTTGGACTGAATCCTCAGCCATTCTTTTTTTTTTTTTTACTAGGATCCAGAGCATAGTTTACTTCCTGTCATGTTCCATGTTGGGCAACTGGTTCCATGTGTTGTGCTGCAAGTAGATGATGACAAGAAAGAATCAGGGAAGAGAAAGATCTGGCTTTCATTACGTTTATCTATATTGTACAAAGACTTCTCATTGGACCTTCTTCAAGAAGGAATGGTAAATGAATTTCAATTCATTAGTTATGGTCCTTTTTCTTGCTTTGTTTCAATCAATGTCTTTAGTATTATTCAATTTCTTGGTTTTTCTTATCTAAAAAAAGTAATAAATTTTTTTTAGCAATTTTGGTTCATGCAATGTGTTATGTATTTTTAACCCCTTTAGAAAATTATTG